TTTATATATATAAATTTGTATGTATGTAGGTATGTATGTGTGTGTGTGTGTGTGTGTGTGTGTGTGTGTATATATTCATTCTTGAAAGTTTAGAGCAGTGTTTTTCAAACTTGGCAACATTAAGATGTGTGGACTTCAACTCCCAGAACTCCTCAGCCAGCATGCTGGCTGGAGAAATCTGGGAGTTGAAGTCTACACATTTTAAAATTGCCAAGTTTGAAAAACATTGGTTTAGAGCATTTAAGTAAAATTAATGCATCTGTTTTACATCCATTGGATATAAAATAGAAGCATTAATATATATTGCTTATTTCTCCAAAAAACGCATAAACTTAACTTGTGCTGAAAAGGTTCAGAATTCCATTGCTGATTTTTGAGTTATGATCAGAGGGGCCACATGCCCATCCCATTCCAGAACAATACACCATTTGCCTACATCTTCTTGGCCATTGGCTAACCGCAGCTAACCTTGTGTGAACTCAGAAGCTCAGCAGAGTTGGCTGTGGTATATTCTTGGATGGGCAGCTAATATGGAATCCCAGGACTATAAATGAGTCTACGAAGTTGAAAAGCATCCAGGAAGAAGGCAACAGCAAAGTATTTTCATGCTGTTGCCAAGATAACTAGGGATGTGTCCATGAAGTAACTCAATACATGAGTCTATGATTCAGAGACTTTACCATTATTCTTTATTGAGTTGTACTTTTTTTTTGAATGATCTAGATTATAAACATGATACACTTTTGTTTCTGCAAATGCATCCTCTGTAGAGGAATACAGAAAGCATCTTACGGCAATTTATGGCTATGGTTAGCATTCTGGAGACATTGCAGCAGAGCTCAGCATTTGACCTGTATCCAGTGGGGAGGAAGCTTAAGCACAGATCGAGATCACAAGCCTAGGAGCAAGAATATTCAGAAGTAATTTCCGTTTCTCATCCTTGTCGAGACTCACCACAGGCAGGCCCTCACTGGATGGCAGCTTTCCCCATTTTTCTTTGCTCTCCAGAAAAATCCATAAGTAACCGTGCAGTTTCACGATTCCCTTTGATCTGCCTTTGCAACAGTGACTCTCACTTTTTGCTGGGGTTGGATTCCTAGATCCCAACATTTACACAATAGAAAAACCCTCGACTACTGAAACCTTCTCATTAGACCCCTCATCTGTTCCACTACATTCTTTGTGAGACTGAGCGGTCTTACTGTGAGCAGCAATAAGACTTATAAAAACAGCTTAAGTAATTGGATTGCTAGATGGTATTGAATTTCTGACAACAAATGATATCCATCTCTATTCTCCTTGCTGCATCTTTGTTCCTGCCCTGAATTTATTTAGGAAGGCTCTTGGGGGGGGAGGGGGT